GGAGTACGGTGCCCGCGAGCGCCCCCCCCCCCCCCCGCCACTGGGGCTCGCGGGGTGGCTGTTGGGGGTGTGTACAGAAGGAATTCTAGAATCAAACCCTGGGAGAAGGACTCCTTAGAGAAACTCGTCTGCTCCCCAGGGCCCCAGTGGAATGGCATCTCGGGAGTGCCCAGCTACCTCCAAGGCTGAGACAGACCAGGAAGATGAGGAAAGTGATGAAGAGGAGGAGGAGGATGCCACTGATTCTGAAGACAAGGAGGATCTAGAACAGCCACAGGAAGGTCAGGGGGATGAGGAAGAGGAACATTCTCATGTGTCAGTCCTGTCCGGTGTGAGCTGTCTTGAGATTTTTTTTTTTCTTGTTTTTTTGGGGATAGTCTCACAGTGTAGTTTAGGGTGGCCCTGAACTCACTGTGTGGCCCAGGCCGGCCTCAAACCTGCAGCAATCCTCCTGCCTCAGCCTCCCTACTGCTGGGATTACAGGCGTGTGCCATCAAGTCTGGCCTTGAGACTCATCTTTCTCTTGGTTTTTCCTCAGCACTATTTTCCCTATTCTTCATGCCACTCCTTCCCTTTTCTTCTCTCCCAGGTAAGGATGGAGACAAGATCCCCAAGTCCTCAGCACAGGTCTCCACTAAAAAGAACCAGGAAGCTGTCAAAAGAATCTGCAGGGCTTCAGGGGAGCAACAGAGCAAAAGACTCACAGTGTCACCAGCCTTGGAGTCGGAAGAACGCCTGGCCCACTCCAGCATAGATGCTGAGAGCAACGGAGAGCAGGTTGAAGAGCTGCCCCTGGAGGGAGAGAGCCCTGTGTCTCAGCTCTTCGAGCTGGAGATTGAAGCCTTGCCCGTGGACACCACCCCTTCTCCCGAGGAAAGCGACATTTCCTCTTCCCGGAAGCCGCCAGAGGATCCTGTTACTGAAGTTGTGGAGAATGGAGCAGCCACGGTGACCTCCACATCCTTCAATGGAGGCGTCTCTCCTCACACTTGGAGAGATCCTAGTCCCCCCTGCAAGAAGTCTCGGAAGGAGAAGCAGCACCCTGGGTCAGGACAGTTAGGAGACAGGTAACAACTACAGGAGGAGAACGCAGGGACCTGAGGAGGGTACAGGGCGCCTCCCCAGCCTCGGGCCCCGGGGGCAGGTCAGCACCCTTCGTGGTCCTTTGTGTTTTGTTCTCAGCATTTTGGAAAGGCACAGGGCAGCGGCAGAAAAGAACAGGAAGATCTGCATGCCCAGCCCACCGTCCCCGCTGGCGTCCTCAGCCCCGGTTGCTGATTCCTCTACAAGGGTGGACTCTCCCAGCCACGGCCTGGTGACCAGCTCCCTCTCTAGCCCTGCTCCAGCTCGACTGTCCCGTGTTCCCCAGTGCTCTCCCCGGCCCAGTACCTACAAGGTGAGCGGTGTCTGGCCCTTCTCCCGCTGTCCGCCTCAGCCCCTCCGGCTGCGTTAGCCACGGGCCGCATCCAGATCTCCTCTCCCCACCGGCGCTCCCTCCCTCCCTCCCTGGCCTCCTCCACTGCCCTGACTCTGTCCCTCCTCCCGCTCCCGCAGATGAGTGTGGCCACGCAGTGCGACCCCGAGGAGATCATCGTGCTGTCGGACTCTGATTAGCTGCCTCCTCTTCCGCTTCCTGCCTCCGGAATGCATTTGGAGGGTGGTGGGAAGCAAACGGCTCCGGAAGGGATGGGCTCGCTAATCCCTTCTTGGTGCTGTTTCTTTTAAAAATTAAGAAACTTCAGTTTTACACAGAAACATTAATAAACAATAAAATTCTTTTGTTATTGTATTTCTGACCTTTCCTTGACCACCCCTGTCGCAGCCTGGTATCAGGTGTGTCTGGCTCAGGGTTGGCCCAGGTGCTGGGTAGCCCCATCTGTCCCTCTTAGCCTGGCCCTTGCACAATTCCTTGCTCACTTACTTGCACCTGCCGGCTTTCCTCGTGCCTTCCACCAGGTACAGGAGAAAAAAGCGCTTCAGCTGGCCTAGCGCTTCACTTTCTCACTTTGAGCGGTAGGAGTGAAAAGGCCAATCAGGGGCCGGCTCAAGGTTACGCGGCCAATCCTGGCCCGAAGGGAGGGGGCGGGGCTTCGGGGGGCTGCCAGAAGCTAGGACGAGGGCTATTAGATCGGGCAAATCTCCTAAATGGCCACAGCTTAGGGGCGGGGCCTGAGGAGGGAAGGCTAGCACCCTTCTCCAATGGGAAAAGGCAGGCTTACAGAATTAAAGGGGAAGGAAGGATTCGGCTAAACCAAGTCCTAGGTCCTCTGCAGAAGGGAGCGTCTGGTACCTTTAAGGTGGGATGAGGCGAAAGTTCTTTAAAGGAGAAATGGCCAAGTCGGCCAAATATCGCCCAGCAGCACGGGCGGGGTGCCTGTCTGTGCCTTTAAAGTGGAAGGGGCGGGAGGCGGAGCGGAGGCGGAGGGCGGAGGGAGTCGGCGCAAGATGGCGGCGGGAGGG